TGGAATACTATTGGGAAAAGAATCAAGAGTATCAATGTCAACTGAGTAATTACCTGGATCGAGGGAGACTTCTTGGTCCAAGGGGTGAGTCAATGACTTGTTTTGCCCTTCTAGTGTAGACAATTGGCTGTTTTCTTTGCTGCAAATCATTGGTGTTAGGAGGACCAAACATAAGCACCTCAGTAAGAAGCTACCCCTGAATGGGAACAGGCAAAGGAAGGGGGCATTCCCTCTAAATGGACGACGAATTCTCTACCTGTATAATAGTCTCCCCCTGTAGAGAATCCCGAGCAGTGGGGAAACAAAAGGAACAAACTCAAAGAATGTAACATCCATGGAGACCAAGCGATGACGAGTGGTAGGGTAATAACACCGACACCTTCCTGAGTGGTGGAGTATCCAAGAAAGGCACATCGGATAGCCTTAGGGTCCATTTTGTCTTAGCGATGATGAATGTAAACATAACAAACACAACCAAACACTTTCGGAGGGAAAGTAAACAAGGCAGTGTGATGGTGTAAGACAGAGAAGGGGGATTGATAGCCAAGAACCTTAGAACGCATGCGATTGATAAGGTGTGTAGCTGTTAAGGTTGCATCAGCCCAATAACTTTTAGGCACTCCCATCCCAATTAGAAGAGAATGGGTCACCTCCGTAATATGACAGTGTTTTCTTTCAGCTACACCATTCTGTTGTGGTGTATCGACACAAGAGGTTTGATGGACAATCCCGTTATCAGCAAAAAAGGAGGCAAGACCACCATATATAAACTCTCCTCCATTATCAGATCGAAGGACTTTGAGGGGACAATCAAACCGAGTACATATCATCTTACGAAAGGTTTTAAAAATGGAATGAACTTCATCTTTGGTTTTCATAAGAAAAAGCCAAGTCATCAATAAACACAACAAAGTAATGAAAACCAAGTAACGAAGTAGTAGATTCAAGACCCCACACATCATAATGAACAAGTTGCAAAGGAGTTGTACTTTTATTAATAATAGTAGGATAAGAAACACGACATTGTTTGGCAAAAACGCATGTTTCACAATTTAACTCAAAAGATTCAACAGAAGCAAACTAGGGAAAGCACAAGCTTCAAAACAAAAGGAGGTAAATGACCTAGTCTATTATGCCATCACATTAACAGATCTTTATTGACATTACTATTCCTAACACTAGATTGATTTACAACATAATTAGAAGTTGGCCTCACGTTCAGCAAATACAAGCCATTGTCCTCACATCCACTTCTAATCGTCTTCCCCGTATCCAAGTCCAGTAACACAGTGAGATGGAAAAAATGTTACACTACAATTCAAGCCTTTCGTAATGTGACTGACAGAAAGGAGGCTATTGGTAAACTTTGGTACATGAAGAACAAACGATAAGGTAAGATTAGGAGAGACAGAAACAATGCCCTTCCCCGCAAAGGAGGTAAAGGTGCCATCATCCACTCTAACCTTATCCTTACCAGAACATAAACTGTACAAAAAAAAAAAAAAATCATATGCCATACCAGTCATGCGATCAGTGGCTCCAAAATCAATGATCCAAGGTGGCCCACCAGATAATGTGTCTAATAATGTGGAAACTTGATGTGCCGAAAGAGAGGTACCTGAGCAAAGTTATAGGTGGAAATGGAGGCATTTTAAGCTAGTAGATGTCGAAGAGCATCAAGTTCAGCCCCGGACAAAAAATTCGGTGCCCTGAGGAGGCATGGCCTGTAGAAGCAATCTCACGCTCAGCAGAATGTGTCGTAGATAACCTCCTAAATGAACCAGGACTTAGCCTAGCATTCGCATAAGCAGGAGCTAAAGTAGGGTGACCGTGTAGATTTCAACATGTTTCCCTAGTGTGGCGTGTACGCCCACAGTGATCACACCTCAACTTGTTCTTGTCATCCTGCTTCCCTCCTTTTGGAGGATTAGGCTTGTTCCATTGTTGTGTGACAAGAGCGGACCTCTCAGACAGTGGTACTTCTAGCTCAAGCTTAGTGTATATAGGTGCAGACATAGCCTTCTTCCTACTCTCCTCAACCTGGATATACGAAAACACCTCTAATAGATGTAGGGGCTAGGTACCTGCCTAACACTTATACCCTGGCATGACCGTATCTCGGATGCAGACCACCCAAGAACTCATAAATTTGATTCCTTTCTACAATAGCACGAAATGTTTTAATATCAGCTGCACACACAAGTATGTAGTCTTGGTGGTAGTGATCTAACTCTTCCCATTTACCACGTAGAGTGTGGTAATATACAGCAAGAGTTTGGTCTTCCTGCTTGAATCTTGAAATCTGTTGTTGGAGTTCATACAGTTTTACAAAATTATCAACCGAGGAATATGTCTCTTCCGCAGCCTTCGATAACCCTTTAGCTGTTTTCACAAACAAAAACCCTTTGTTGATATGTGGCTGCATTAACTGCAACAACCACGTCATAACTAGTGCATTATTTGCACTCCACTCTTTGAATTCCTAGTGCATTATTTGCACTCTAATCTTTGAATTCAGGATCACTCTTGGAGGGATACGTGACAGTCCATTCGATATGGTCAATCATCCTACAACCAGTGATATGCATACGAGCAAATTGAACCCACTCCATATAGTTTGTCTCATATGAGCAAATTGAGCCCACGCCATATAGTTTGTCTCATCCAGCCGAACAGTCGTAATACAAAGGCATGGATGGTGATCACAACTACTGCCTAATACTCGAGTTAGACTAGGAGAAGACCCAGCTTCTTTTGAAGTTAGCTCTAAGCCAGACATTTTATCAAACAGTTTCTAGGTATACAATCCTCAGAAACAAAAGTAACAACAAAATACGTAGAGAACCACTTCTCTAACACAAACAACTAGAAATATTACCGTCTCCTAAGATGCATAAAAAAGTGACCTTACAGCCACCACACAAACCCTAGAAAGCAACAAAGTAGATCATACCAGAATCGCAAACGACAAAGAAAAAGTCGTTGTTGCAAAACCATGCGAACATGAAAAAAAACACCGATCAAGTTGGATCCACGATGCGTATGGATGTGATTAACTCTACTTCCTTGCAAACAAATCCCATCTTGGAATCTGTTCAAACCCCTTCACACCCACTGTGGTTTACACAAACTTTCCCTAGGGTTTCAACTACACACCTAGAGCTTTACAAGCCATGCTCTGAAACCATGGTGACTTTAAGAGAGAATCAAATCAAGAGTAAAGAAGAAGAAGAAGAAGAAGAAGAAGAAGAAAGAGAATGAGAGAAAAAGAGAGAGAAATGAGGAAAGAGAGAAAGAATGAAAGAATACTTTCATCCTTCTACCACATTCTATTTATACTAACAAGTTTCAAAAATTACACATAAGCCCCAACATTATATAAGTAATAACAAAAAAAGCCCCTGCCAACAATAACTTTCAGGTTTTGGTTGCTTTTGCCAATGTTTTCCATTTATTGCAGCCTCTTAAAGTTGCTGCATTCAGCTGTGTGGCTTGAACTGGTCAGTCACAGGAGATTTATACCTAAATTGCTCACTGTTAACCCTCCGAAAGGTAGGCCTCAGGTTTGACAATTGCTGGTTGACCTGTTCAAATTTATGGAGCCAAATCTGAAGAATGCTGAACAGCGAGAACTGGTACATTTATTCTGTAAAAAGGCACTCTGATGGTGCTGGTTGTGCTGCTTCACGATTTTCCAGAGATCCTCTGCGAATATCATTTCTGTTATGTGATTTTAAACCTTCTAGCTGCATCCAGATTCGAAACATCATCCTGGGTGCATTTCCACACAATATCGATCCTTCTACTCCTAACATGAAGACCGATAGCTAGCAAGATCAACCAATCGCCATGAATTTTCTCAGAGGTTGATGCCACCTTGAAATCCAAATAGATGGTCCACAATGGTTCATTGGAATACTTGATGGATGCTGCTATGGATTTCTTCCAGATGCTGATTGTCGATGTTGATACTGAAGGGCGCAACCATTTCCCCAATGCAATTGCTAATCAGCTGTTTGATCACTAACTTAGTTTCAACAAGAGGAGGTGGTTATCAAAAGTTCCTTGTAAAATGGAGGGGACGTCCACTTTTTATTGTAATTGGACTACCGTCTACCGATAGTGAGTTCCAATGCCTAGCTCGGACCTTTATGAGCAATTTCATCCCTTTACCTTGCCGGGTCAAGTCTTTCCAAGCCGGGGAGGATTGATGGAGATCAATGGCAGCAACCATTAAAGGTGTGTCAAAGGTACGGAAAGGAGGATTTCAGAACTCAAGCCTTAATTTGGCATAGGTTCATGATGTGGGTCCACTTGGAGTCTTGAATAATTTTTGGTCACACTGCGTCATTTACGAGTTTGGTGGGCGTTATGATGCAATTAAGGTGATTTTTTATTGCTTTTATGTTATTAAGTTGTAAGTTAGGTATTAGAAGAGTTGCAAGTCTTATAGATTTTCTCAATTATGAGGTAAGTTTAGAAGTCGTGGGTTATGAGTTAAGCGGCACGCAAGTCTAAGAGGTATGAGCAGAATCCTATAACAGGATGGAGTGTAAACTTGGCTGATCAGTGAATGAATGACAAAAAAAATATCTAATGAAATTTCTTTGTGAGTGATTCACAAATATGAGGCTAGACTTATCCAAAAAAAAAATGCCTAGAGGCTAGACCTGTTGGTGTGATTCCAATTGACTGCTCTTATTTTATTTTTTTTCTCCTTGATTTTTATATATTTCTACAATCGAACCACAAAATTTCAGCCCCGGTTGTTTCAACTTTCAGCCACTGAATTCTGTATGTTTTAGCTATTTAAGGCTGCTCTTGAAGTCCTACACCATTATAATGCAAAACTGCAAATACATTCATAAGCATATCAGTGGTTAAACAATTCAAAAAGTACATCCCCATTAATTACAACTTCTGAATCCTGAAACAGCATCTGTTCATAAAGCTATACCAAAAATATATCAGGTAAGAAAATAAAGCAAAGAAATGGTAACCTGTGTGGTTTTTCCACATCCAGTCTCACCAGATATGAGCACCACCTGCTTTGAAACATTAACCAAAGAATAAATTCTTAGAGAGTGGCAGAAGTCAGATAGATAAAAATATACAAATTACAAGTCAAAAACCAACAATCAGCAAAACAAGTACCCTTTCAGTCAACAAGAGATCTAGTCAAAAATATATATATATAAATATTTGAAAAGTAAAAGTGTATTAGAAAGCGTTCATATCCTAATTAACGTCATAGAAAAGATTTCTCAACTCCCTCTCCCCTTTCCAAAGGGGGGCATTCCTCTTTCTAACAACATCAATATGATCATTCACCCACTCCTTTCCTTCATCAACACAATCCTGTCTAACACCATCAGTCACCACACTTTCACAGTCAAGGGTTCAACCACCCCTAAATTTGGATGTCGCTCCTCAGCCCACACAATCATATCCAAAGCCCCACACCGTTTATCCCTCAACACCTCTCCTACCCCATCCTCCATCTCCTCCTCCTCCCCTACACACGAAATCCACTCAACAACACTGTCCTCCCTACCTTCCAAACCGTCAACCTGAGTATTCGTACCAACAGCATGATCAATAGGCAGAGTTCTGTATTTCGTCAATTCCTGTACCAACAGAGCTGTTGCATCATCACTGAGAGTAAAATGAAGGTCCTTCCCAACATAAACTACCATCCTTTCGGAAGCGCCAGTCAAAGGGTCCATCTGTGACCTCCCCAATCTGTCTCCATCCAGTATAGAATCACCCAAATCATCAACCATGTCTGTAATAGGCTCAGAAATCCAACCCAGCTCCTCCCCAACCAATGACGGCTGAACCGATGAAGAGAAATCAGACAGAAACCCATCATTCCCCAAGAAATCCAAATCAGAATCCACACTGGCCATCCCATCCCTTTTTGATAACCCAAAAAGATCAACACCGGCCATCCCATCCCTTTCTAACAGCCCAACAAACCCACATCCATTCGAATCCGAGTCAACCACCTCATCCTCGGACCCCACCTCTACCACAGGGGAAAGCAACCGAGACTTTACTGAAAACCCATCACAGTCCTCCCCCATCACTCCTCGACACCCCGCAAGGAGTAGTAGAAGAAGGAGGAGCAGAAAGAGAGCTCCAAGAGTGGGAAATAGGATACATACCAGGTTCGAGGTCTCTGTCCTTGCGAGCCACCCATTTCTGTTTTTGCTTTTGGTCCATCTTTTGTCAGGGTGTTTAATCATAAATGAATTCCTTTGATAATCCGGCTTATCTGACGAGTCACAGTCCTCTGAAACATCACTGCAACTTCCGCTGAGCAACGGACCAAAGCTATTCCCAGACATCAATCTTTTGCAGCACTCAGCGTGATGGAATCTCTTAGTCTTCAACCCATCTCCCTGAAAGGACTCACCCACCTTTACCCAGAAGTCTCTCTCCCTCTGAGACAAATACTTAGCCACAGGCTTTGTTGTCGAAGGACCTTTGAACTGCGTAGGAGATGGACCTATGGACTGGGCCTGCTGAATGTAGATGGACTCCTTAGCAACCAGTGGACTGGACTGGTTCCCCTTAAAAGAGACAACAAGTCCCTTATCCGGGCCCCAAGCCACCACCCTATCCCCTCTAAACTTGCCTAATCTGGGCACAGGCTTATAATGAGGAAGCCCAGCCGACGATCTTGACGCAAGTGAGTTGGGCTTGGCCGGATGCAGCCCAGCTGAAGAGGATGGCCCAACAGATTTGACAGACATGGGCTTGGACTGAGACCTTACTGTAACATTTAGTCCCTGACGCCCATAGTGTGGCCCAGGTCCAGGCCCATCCTTATCAGAATACAAATGTCCCACACACTCACATGCATGATCACGTGCACCCACAGTTGTCTTGCACCGACAACGGGATGGCCATGAACACCAACCACGTCTCACCCCTAGATCTGCCCACCCCACTCTCCTTCGGCATGTGCATCCCCCTACGTCCCCAGCTCCCTGCCCTTGGGAAAGACCACCGTGACGATCCATAATATGCTCCTCCAGTGGAGCACAAAGACCACCTCCAGACCATCGTACCACTCGATCCTTCCTATCCGAAATCACTTGGGGTCTCCTCCTTTCACTCACATCGAAAGAATTCAAAGTCGGTACAAAGAAGGGCAGGTCTCTTCTGTCAACGAAAGTCTGAAAGCCCACCGCCTGTCTTCCACAGTGATTAACTCCGGGAACTCACCTCCCTCGAGCACAGTGATGACAATTCTCTCTGTATCACTCAATTTGTAAGCCTCAACATCTCACCAATGGCAACAAACAGCTTCTGACACCAAAGATGCAAAGGAAGACAATACAGAATAACACGCCGGTGCAAGGTCTTCATCCTCAGCCCAAAACACCCGACCCAATAGCACCACAAATCAATAAACTGTGCATCGCCCCAGACTTTCTTACCCCTCTTCAAAACCTTCTGAGATTCCAAAACCGATGGGAATCTGAACAAAAGCAACCCATCCGCCAGAGCGGAAACGCTAAACCCAAATGAAATTCTCCATGTCTTCGAAGCCCACCTCTCAATATCAGTCATAGATCCCACGTCTCTATCAAATCGTCTAACGAGGCAAGACTTGAGCATGGTCCAACAAAAGATTTATGAATCATGCCCAAACTCTAGTATTCCAGTAAACTCTAAGGGCCCAAGCTAAAACTGAACTATGGAGAGACTGTAATTAGAGACTATATAGTTCAGTGTTAGCTTGGGATTTAAAGTTTACTGGAATACTAGAGTTTGGGCATGATTCATAAATATTTTTGTTGGACCAAGAGGGGGGGTGAATTGGTCTTGCTTCAAATTCTTCTTTAGCACAGTGATAATTACAATCAATACAAATGCAATGAGACACAAGGTTTACAAGGAAAACCCTCTCAATAGGGAAAAACCTTGGTTCTTGGCCTCAGCCAATAAAAGCTCCACTAGTCAAAAACGAAGACTCAATGCTACAAAATCTTGCTTCAATTTTTTTATGTTTGATTGCATTTTTCGTGCAAATATAAAGCTCACCCTTTCTCTAACCTTAAGTGGTCAAGCCAATTTGTATCTAAGGGACCTGCTGGAATGATCACTTCGTGGTGAACATGCATACTGAGATAACCATCAGTTGGGTCCTCATATTTCCAAACCTCAAAATGCATGATATCATGCTCAAAACAGTTAGCAAGAGGAGCAAGAAGCATTGCACCATATTCAATCCCAACCAAACAAGTCCTGTTTGCCACAATCATTCCGTACATTGCTAAGAGAACCTTCAGAGCAAGACAACCAAATTATCTTCGCTAGCACTTTCTGGAATAAAAACTTCTTCACCAACAATCTGCTCACATAATGATCCTTCACAAACTTGATGCCCATGCTTCTCCACCACATCTTGGTCATGCAATTTGAAAATTCTTCAACGTGCTCATCAGCTAATCAATGTTGTTCACTCTCAATACCAAACTTCTTGTCACCATCCTCTTCTTTTGTCGTGTTGAATTCCTTAACTTCATCATCCTCATGTTTCGGAAGCAGAGGGGACTTCTGCTTAACCAAAAATTCACCTAAATCACCATATAAGATGTCATCATCCTCTTCCTCCGGATAATCATCATATTTTGGCTCAACCTCTGGGATTGCATCATCTTCTTCGATCAAAATCTGTTTTTCATGTTTTCTGCACTCCGCTGATCTATGCCCACGCTCTCCACACTTGTAACACTTCAGCCCAAGGTCTCCACCTTGACTTTGGCCAGATGTCCTTCCATAATTTTGGCGGTTTCCAGCGTTGGCATCCTGCTCTTTAACTCCACTAACATGTGGCAGCTGCTGTCCCACTTTTTGGGCCTAGTTTCTCACTGTTGTAGAGGCTGATTCACATTTAAAAGTGGACTGCAACCTTGTGAAAGTGCTGCTGGAACTCGAAACCTGCTTGCTTTGCTGCTTCACCACCAAAGCTCGTTGATAAGCCTCTGAAACTGACCAAAATGAATGCAAGAGCAGGACTTCTTCTATTAGTCCGCCAATATAGCATGCCACAATCTGTTCTTCACTCTCTGATAGGTCATTGTGTGCTAACCGAGAAATTGCTTTACTGTAATCTTCCACACTACGGCCTCCTTGCCTTACATTATGCAAACGTTGATACATCGTTTGGACATAATTAAAGGGCAAAATTTGTTCCTTCAACTTTTTCTTCATTTTTTTTCCATTCTATGATCTTTGGCTTACCTCTACGCTTTCGGGTAATCCGTAATTGCTCCCACCATTCCGATGCTTTACATTTTAAATGAATAGCCACAAGCTTGACCTTTTTTGTGATCTGGTATCTCGTGGTATTTGCCAATCAATAAACTCCTCTGCCTTGGGACTCCCGTGGAACTCGGGAATTTCTCTTCTGATATTCACCTCCCAACGACGTCTGGTCCGACTGTCGGGTGACCTATGGCGCCGCGAAATATAAAATGGATTTTTAAAATGTTTCGAGTTTAGACTGGTTATCCTCCATTGGAAAGTTGTCATCAACCAGCAGGTTGATAACATGTTGAGCCAATTGTTGGTTCAACATCTCGACTTGTCTCCGCAAATTCTCGACTTCGTTTTTGACTTTCTGGGGTAAGGGTTTGGTTGGACCTTGCATCCTAAAACGTTCTCTTCTCAGTTGTTGTCCTGGAAGCATGATTGAGCAGTCAGAAAGCTGAACCCATGCTCTGATACCACACTGATGCCGCCTTACCAAGAGGAAAAGATCAAATCGTCTTCACAGCAATATTCAAACGAAATAAAGAACAAAAGCAAGAGAAAGGAGAATTGACAGGCAACTTTATTTGCTGTAAAATAATTCTCTGAAACTGTAAAACTCCCCAAACACTAGGAATTACAAGGCTTTATATAAAGTTTCTTCTTCCCCCAATCCTAGCCTTATATTAGGTAAAAACCAAATCTATAATAAAACCAAAATAGGAAAGCTGCTGAAAATTAGAAAACTACAAAAAACAAAGAAAATTTTAAAATATCTAAAAAACACATATTCCACTGCAGAAAATTAGGTTTCTCTGACTGCATCAACCTACAGTCCTTTAATTTGGTTATCCAGTGGTTCATTACTTTCTCTCCTAGTTCTGCTACAAGGAGGAAGGTTTCTTGCAGGTTCTTCACTTGCATCATTTGGTGCTTGTGGTATGAGAGAAAAAAAAAAAAAAAAAAAAAACTTTACGAAACAGCAGTTTCGTTTTGGGATTAAAACACTAATCATATTTTCTCTACTATTCCTTTTCGCCAATAAATAGCTCATGCTTTCAGAGAACCAAAGACACAAACAAGAAAGATTCAAAGCCTTATCGAGAGACTGTAGTGCGTGCATATTTTGTTTTTTATTCATCAATCATTCTTATTTAGATTGGCGAGAGTAATATGAGTGTATTGAGAAACTACTTTTCTTTGTATAGCCTATGATTGCATGTATTATGATTAAAGCATGATGGTTTGAATACTTACTAAGATTTTGTGTTGGTTCAAGTTCTTGTTATTCGATAATTTAGTTAAAGTTAAAAAGTAGTTAAAATTAGATAAGACAACATAAAATACGCACTATCACCAAAAATATATATATATATATAATGAAATAAAATAAAAATTATTCAAGCTTACGGGTACTTTTTATACACGAATCACAACTATTACGTATTTTAATATACAAATATTCTTAAGATTCTGCTGCTTCTAGAACCAGTCAACAGCTTAAGTCGGTCTCTTAGCATGATGCAATTTGCAATTTAGGAAGCAAAATCAATAGAATAACATGTAAAGTAAACTTAAACAACCTGATTAGATTTTATTGTGGATGTAATGAGATCCCTGAAGGATGATATTGGAAGCTTAGACCTCTGTTCAATAATCTGCAATGCATAAAATCATAATAAACCTTCACTTTTAGACTACTAAACAAAATAATTTTGACAGCACAATTACATAGGTAGTATTTATTTTAACCAAAAAATTTATAGAACATAAAAAACTCAGTATTATAAGCAGCAGAACCTCTGTCAGTTTCGGGGACTTTTCTACTCTAGAAGCAAGTGATTCCACCTTCTTTGCTATTTCGTCCTTGTTCATTGAAGGTCGGCAAAAGATATCATCTCTCTTTCCATGTCTTTTATCAGATTTTCCACTATGTTTCCCAATCATTTCCTCGTCTACCTTTTGATCATCAGGTGGATATCGAGTAAATAAGTCCTGCAATACCTCTTTTGCCATTTCTGAAAATGTTAAGGGAGTGAGATTTTCTTTCCCCATCTTCTTGTCCACTTTTCTTTTAGCTTTGTAAACAGATACGCATCGCTGATTCCCACGCCTACACAAGCTCAAGCTCATAAGTAACTATACCGAATGGGAGCAAGATATCAGTGCCCAACTAACAAGTAAAAACGGTGACATTAGAAACAAATGGGGAATCACTAGCCTCAATTTTCAATGGTGTAGAAAATTTGAGGGTCACATTCACCAGAATCATAATGCGATATCACCACCAATACTCACCCAGAACTTTTGGACGTCATACCCATTTTCTTGCATAATTCATGCACCACTGCACGTTCATAATTTGTCAGGTTGGCTTCAAATGTGTACACTGCATTAACAGCATTCTCAATTAGACAATTGGGCTTTGATTTATTTCACAGCTTTTCAAAATAAATAAATAAAACTAGGCGGGCAAAAAGACTTGAAAATTTATTTATAAAAGGCTCTCAAAAATGCAGCAGTTGGCATGAAGTCACCAAAAACAGAATTGTATGTGTCCACCACTCTGCACAATGCATCAATCAGAACCTTTATGTCCAGTTTTGATATCCTGCAAGCTAAGGTTTTATTTAATGCTTCCGAGGATGCCTCAGTGCACCTTTACTCCATTCAAATGGATACAATCCCCAGAAGGAAAGAGATCACAACATTATAGTCAGCATAAAAAAAAATTAAAAACTAAAAATAAAAAATAAACACTCAAGAGTGCATTAAACCGTTACCCGAAGTTCTGATGTGATAAAGTGTGAACAGTAGTTATCAACTATGGGCTCGATCAAGAGAGGTTGAGTACTTAATTGAGAATAGATGAGGTCGTTCATTGAGGTAGCTAGGCTACCATGTCTCTACGCCAGAGGTGAGACTATGGTATTGCCGGCGTCAGAGACGAGAGGTTTTTGTTTCAAAGTGGAAGATCAGGGTATATGGCAGAAACGAGATGCATTACAGGCATGTAGAGGTGGGGCAAACCAGTGGGCTCGATTGAGAAGGTAACGGAGTGGGCTTCAAGGGCTTGGAGTGTGGCCAGTGGTGGTGCTGTTGCCACTGCCTGACACTCTGCTGCTGTACCAATTACTGTCACACGCAGAGGCCATTAAAGTCCTCATGGAGGGGAAGCGAACTTGGGTTGAAGCCACTCTGAGGTTGGACATTTGGTGTTCAAGGTTGGGTGTTCCAGCATCTTGAAAGGGAGAAAGGAAAGTTGGTTGTTACTCTTTGGATTACCACTCCCTTTATGGTGCAATTCCCTCTTCAGAGCTGTCAGTGATGCTTGTGGGGGTTTCAAAACGGTTGAGGGCAATGCGATAAAGGATGCTACACTACAATCACTGCACTTCAAGGGGGCGGTGGCTGAAGAACGATTGCCGAAATTAGTGCCGACTGAGGCATTGTTTGGTCGATATGGTGGCAGATGAGGGAAAGAAAGGTGAGTGGAGAAGGAATGGGAACGCTCGGTGTGAAGATAGAGAGTGTGGGTGTTTCGTCAAGGTCAATTTCCAGAGGACGGGGATGGAGGCCAGCATAGGGAAGCAAAGGATTGGGGGAGGCGACCTGGAGCCCAGGGTTAACGGTCATGCTATCGTATCAGGTATGCCGTCACATGACACATGAAGGGATTTTAAAAACGATAGATCGAGTATCTTAACTTAGTGCGATGTTCACTCGGTTCACCTCCATCTTGAATAGAATAGATGCTCTCGGTGAAGGGTATTCCACCTACAAGAGCATCAAGAAGATTCTAAGGTCTTTGCCGCACCAATGGAAGCCCAAAGTCACAGCCATTGCTGAATCTAAGGATTTCAAGAAGCTAACACTTGATGAGCTACCTGGCTCTCTACTAACACATGAGATTGCTTTGAAGGGTCCAAAAGACTCGGTCAAAGCCAGCAAAGGGCGGGCTTATTCTCAAATGATCTCACCAAGAGAGTGAAGGTTATGATGTTGATGGGGAAAGTGATGAAAATGAAGAACTGGCCATGATTTCCAGAAAACTATTTTTTTTTTTTTTTTTTTAATAAGTAATAATTGAATTAAAAAGGCGTTCAAGAGGGGAACGCATCCCTTATACAAAAGTGGAACCGGGGTTTAAGGCCCCAAAGATTCCAAAAAAATGATTAAATCATCGGGAGAGAAACAGGACTTCCTCTTCAAGTAACTGAAAAGAGAGCGAATAATGTGAAGTTTCAGAATCGTTGTGGACGACTCTTTCCCTTCGAACATTCTACTATTCCTCTCCTTCCATATGCACCACCAGACACAATGTGGTACAACTCTCCAATAATCGCGAACAACACTTCTCACACGGCATCCTCTCCAAATACGAATCAAATCCTTAGGATAATGAGGCATAACCCAACCCATACCAAACAAACAAAAGATAAGATTCCAACAATCGCTCGCCACAGGACAATGCATGAGAATATGAGCAACTGACTCACCATCTTGTTTGCATAGGTAACACCAGTTAACAAGACAGTTGCCCCTTTTCCTTAAATTATAAATCATCAGGATCTTACCCCATACAGCGGTCTAAACAAAGAATGCCACCCTAGTTGGAGCGATAGAACGCCAGATAGTCTTCCCCAAAAAATCAACGATATCAAAATCAGAAAGACATAAGAATAAGGATCGAACTTCGAAGCGACCATGGGAAGAGGGAATCCATGTCATGTCGTCACAACATTTGCCAACTGCCTCCTATAGATACAGCAAATCTAGAAAAACACATACCTCGTCCACCTCCCAATCCTGAAAAGAGAGTCGAAAGTGCACATCCCACGTAATCCCACTTCTATCAAGCCGATAACAGTCAGCTACGCAGGCATGTCTATCAACTGCAATACTGTATAATCTGGGAAATAAACTAGATAAAGGCTGGTCTCCACACCAAAGATCCTCCCAAAAGCGAACACATCTGCCATCACGAACTTTGAATCTGATATGAGTAGAAAAAGCATCCCATCCTTCCAAATGGATTTCCACGCCCCTACTCCTCCCACTAGAGACACCATATGAGTAGACCAACCACCACTCTCTTCCCCATACCGGCATGAAACAAGCCTTCGCTAAGGGCGATGTCTTTCCCTCCCGTAACTCCACAGCCATTTTCCCAAAAGAGCTTAGTTAAAGGGAACCAGTCTTCTAATACCAAGACCACCAAACTTCATTGGCTTGCAGACTTGTTCCCAATTGACAAGGTGATACTTAAACTCTTCTCCTCTTCCGCCCCAAAGGAAATCCCTTTGAATTTTTTCAACCCTAGCAGCAACAAATCATAGAATTTGGAACATGGATAAAAAATATGTGGGAAGGCTCGATAAAGTGCTCGATAAAGTGCTTTTAATGAGAGTAGCCCCCCCCCCCCCCCCCCCCCCCCAACACCCAAAGACAAGTATTGCTTTTTCCATCCTGCCAATCTCTTCGCATACCTATCAATCACAGGGTCCCAACTCCCCACTGTCTAGAGGAAACCCCTAAGGGCAAACCCAAATACGGAATTGGAAAAGAACTCACCCTACACCTAAGGACTGCCGCTAAAGATGAGATATTCTGAACATCCCCAACCAGAACAAGCACACTTTTAGCCACATTAACCTTCAGACTAGGACAGCCTGAAAACAGGCCAAGATGCACCTAAAATATCATCTAAGCTGAGACACATCAGCATCACAGAAAACTAGGGTGTCGTCCGCAAAAAGTAAATGAGAGACCTCCATTTGATGGACAGGATCTCTTCCCACCATAAAACCCTTAATAAGATCGAGATCCTCTGCCCTTCGCACAAGTCTGCTTAATCCCTCCATAACAATAAGAAAAAGGAAAGACGACAGGGGATCTCCTTATCTTAAACCCCGAGTACACCCAAATAAGCCAGCAGAAAACCTGTTCACAAGAACAAAGAACTTGACAGACGAGAGGCGTGTCTCAATCCATTTCCTCTATTTACCTCCAAACCCCATTCTCTGTAGCAAATAAAGCAGGAAATTCCAATTCGCATGATCATACGCTTTCTTAATGTCAAGTTTGCATAAGACTCCGGGAACACCACTTCTCAATCTAGAGTCCACACATTCGCCTGCAATAAGAACTGAATCAAGAATTTCCTGTCCTCCGACAAAAGCATTCTGGGAATCCGATATAATCCCATCCATCACTTCCCTCATCCTAAGAGCAAGAACCTTAGCCATAAGCTTGTAGATACAACCCACTAAGCTAATAGGTCAAAAGTCTTTAATGTCAGAAACACCTCCCTTCTTAGGGATAAGGCAATGAATGACGCATTTAGCGACTTCTCAAAGGCACCTATAGAATAAAACTCCTGAAAAGTGCCCATCACCTCATTTCTCACAACCGCCCAACTTTCCATTAGAAACCGCATAGTGAACCCATCAGGCCCCGGAGCTTTGTCCCCGTTACAACTTGATAAAACCTTTAGAACTTCTTCTTCAGTAAAGGGAATCTCAAGCCCCTCCCTGTCGATCTCAGAAATAGCCACAAAATGAAGACCATCAAGTTTAGGTCTCCAAGCTAGCGGCTCGGTATAAAGCTTCTGATAAAAAGAAGCAATCCCATTTCGCACATCTTCCTCCCTCCACATCTCTACACCTTCCACCCGAATACGTCCTATATGATTGCTTCTTCTATAAGCATTAGCGAGTCTGTGAAAAAATTTTGTATTACGATCTCCCTATTTTAACCAAATAGCCCGGGATTTTTGTCGCCATGATATCTCCTCCATGCTAGCAATCTCAACAAGAGCTCCCTGACAAGAAGCTCTTCTAGAACGTAATAACTCCACATCCCCACTCGCCTCTTTAAGGCGATCAATCTCAAAAAAATCAGCAAGGACTCTATGCTTCCACAATTCAAGATTCCCAAAAACTTCTTTATTCCATTTCTTAAGATCGAGTTTAAGAGCCTTTAACTTCATAGTTAACATGAAGCTAGACGAGCCTGTAATGCTCTTAGCCACATATTCTCAAATCGAAACGGAGACCTTCAAGAACACAAACCCCCACAATCCAAAACCAGAGGAACACAAACCTCCCTTGCTAAAACTGCTTGAACGACATCCAGGAATTTCTCTTCCCACTCTCCAAAAATCAAGAAACGATCCAGCCTTGAAAAAGTGACTGGGTCCCTACCATTTAACCATGTATAGGCTGCGCCTTCCATTGGTAGATCAATGAGAAGATGCCCATCAATGAAATCAGAAAATTGATCCATTTCAGAAGACCTCCTTCCTCTTGTGGACCTCTCTAATGGGAATCTAACAAAATTGAAATCCCCACCCAAACACCAAGGAAGAGACCACATTTCTTGAGCATG